TCATTAACTTGCTTGTCCATAATTTACCTCGTTTTAGAAATTGTTCATACGTAGAGCATGCTCTTGCGTATCGAATCAATAGAGATATATATCCTCCGTATGCAGGTGTTGAAAGTATATAACCGCATAAGTAAGGGAAGTTGACAATAGAAAAGTTATAGTCATCACGTTTATCATATAGCTTGGTTGTTAGATTACCATTAATGTCTTTTTCAAGTAAAATATCCAAGTATGAAACAGAATTGTCAGACTCTGAGGTATCTTTTATCTCAAGCTCACTAGGATATATCGTATCGACATAGGAATGGAAATTACCATTATTAATTTACAATACGTCGTCGATATATCTTAATGTCGAGTTGAAGGCCACATCAGGTGTTTTCTCCTTTTCACGCATAAGATTTTGACTAAATTATGAATCATGAATATAAAAATAATTCCGCTTAAAACGGAGCGCAATTTGTACCCATGGGAATTCCAATAGATTGCCGGTCTCCAAAAACCACATAGATATTGTCAATCAGAAACTCAAGCATGTTCTTGATGTCAACTTCAGAGTACTTATGTGTGCAATCAATATCTGTTTTAACAAAATAATTTTGCAAATGACCAATGTCCTGGTAAGTAAATCTACAAGTTTCAATTTTATTGAAGAAGCAGCTGTCAATGATATCGAAAAGCCTGGATTTCAATTTGTTGTGGGGAATGGTTGTGTATAAAGTTGAAAAGTCGTAAGTTTTTAATCTGGTGATGTTAGTAAAATCTTGTGATTTCTAATTGTCCAAAAGTTCTTTGGAATTTTTGAGTATCCACATCTGATTTACACCACTTCTTGAATATATTGTTGCACAGTACTCTTGAAGTTTTTCCTTCACTACTGTTAATATCTTAGTGAGGAGTAATGAAAGGGACTTGGTTGAACATTTACTGGAACCTGCAATGTATCTTTGTTTGTAAGGATTCTTATGAAGTTTCGGAATCCAATATATATAAGGTAGTTCAAATTCATTTTGGCTCTGTAGAATATTAAAAGTATTCAAAATTGACAGGTGATTTTGAAGAATTTGTCCCATAGAAAGGAAAATATGAGTATAAGTAGGATTCCCACTTGTAGAATTATATCCAAGTTCTTCTAGAATGTAATTTATATAATGAGCCTTACAAACAAAGAAAATGTTGTTACCTGCTTTGTCGGCAGGAACCAGTACGTACTGATCATGTAATCTATCTTATTTTTTTTCACTTCTGGTTTATTGAACACAGAAGGATAATTGTTTTTCATATTTCCCCTCAATCTTTTAATACGTGACTTTAACATTGTTCTGATATATATAATCTAATCTCACAAGGTGTCAACGTCTTCTTTTTCATATATGGTCCATCGTCTGGCGTGATTTTCAACAGAATCCATAATATTTATGAAATTCAGACGCCAGTTGAAGGATCGGGGTTCCCTATATTTAGGACCTTTTAAAATAAGTGATCTAAGGTCCTCGTTACGAACTATATTTACGTCACCTGTAATAACGTGTCCAACAGAACTATTTCGGAGTCCAAAGACAGTTAGATGACCGAATGTGACACCTTTTGGGAGACCTCGGACAAGGTCATCAACAGACTGGTCTAAATCGTAATGATTAGCTATCAAGTCAATACAGGTATCCCAAATCCATTCAGTTGTGGCCAAAACTTCTAAATTACCTTGATTGTTTCCACTGACTTTTGTCTTGCAGCCGATACACGCTAAGGTTTGTTGAGCACATTGCGGTCCTGGATTAAGCTGTATATCGTTTGAAAGAACCAGGCATAAGAGACACAGATACTGAGCTGTATTCACTCCACGCTTTGTACCTCTCAATCCTTTAGTACTGTCCATTGAAATAAGTTTAATTTGATAAAATTTCTTTTCAATAACACAAAATTTTCACATTTTTCATCGGCCATTGTGTTTCGGGTGTAAGAACAGAATCCCCGTCAAATTCATTTTTGAAAAGAACAGTTGGTAGATGAAGAATTAACAAAAATATGAAGACTGATGTTAATATCTAACTGACCACGGCTATGGCACGCCAAATCCACAAAAATGAGCAAAATAAAAACATAGTTTTACAGTCGATAAACTAGGTTTATCGAATGTAAACTATAGTTTACGGATTGTAAACTATAGTTAACAACGTTAATCTATATTTTACATTTTTAAACCATAGTTAACGCGAAAATCTGTTTCACAACCGTAAACTATACTTAACATCGGAAACAATCATTTGCAATTGCAAAACATAGATTATCTGATAAATACAGTTTCACGATTTGTAAACTATAGTTTACAAACCGTTAACTATAGTTAACGATCTGATAAATATAGTTTCACGATTTGTGAAAATATAATTAACAACTCTGAACTATAGTTTACGATTGTAAACTATAGTTTACCAACGTGAATCTATGTTTATCAACAGAATATATTGTTAAAGCTTTATTCAGACAGATAAACTTAGATTAGTATTCGTAAACTATAGTTAACGACCGTTAAATATAGTTTTACAGATGAAAACTATACTTAACGAATCGTTATCTATAGTTTACGGTTTCTAAACTATAGTTTACAATCGATAAACCTAGTTTATCAATTGTGAAACTAGGTTTATCTCATTTGTGTGAATTTGGCGTGCCATATATGGCGGATATATTTCTAAAAAAAAAAATAAAGGCGTATGGGCCACAACACTTTTCCTAGAAAATTAAGACCTCTTGTGACAATTTTTTTCCCTGGAAAATTACGTTTGATTCGATATTAATCCAATCGTAAACTACCGTTCACTGTAGCTCAGTCGGTAGAGCGCTCGCTCCGTGATCGGGAGGTCGTGAGTTCGTATCTGGGGCCCCGACTAATCTAGTCGTTAAAATTGGTAGCAACTGTTCCTTCGCCATGCGCTCGGCACTTTGAAGTGAAAGTTGCGGGTCCTTCGGATGAGACCTTAAAAACCGAGGCCCCGTGTCAGCGACAGGCGTTGGCACGATAAAGATCCCTCACTGCTCAATGGCCCTGAGTGCCGAGTAAAGGTCAAAATTTGAAGCCTTTCACCGGCATACGGTGACGTCTCCATATGAGTGAAAAATTCTCGAGAGGGACGTTAAACAATATACAATCAATCAATCAACCAATCGTAAACTTGGCATTGTGATTTAACTAAGTAAAATTGACAATGGAGATATATTTCATCATCCAAATGGCCATGTTATGTTATTTTGGAGATGAGAATTTTTGGTGTAGTACAGGGATAAAATATAGCATATTATGGATTACCTTTGATGTAAACACATTGAATTTTGTTAAGTCCTTGAGTTTATGAAGCATACGTCACAAAGCATTTTGTTTTGTGTCATCATATTACGACATCATAAAAAAATTTCTTTCTCGCTATAAACTGCCTCAAACATCAAAATTAATATATATTATCAAGTAAAACTGTATTTTACAAAATACTTGCATAAGAAAGCATTGCATTAATTATCCAAATGTAAGTAAACAACATTGATTTTTATGCCCCCGTTAACGAAGTTTCAGGGGTATATAGTTTTTGCCGTGTCTGTCTGTCCCCCTGTCTGTCTCTTTGTCTGTCTCTCTATTTGTCTGTTTGTCCGCAAAAACTTTAACTTTGCCCATAACTTTTGATTTAGTGGCGCTATGACTTTCATAAATCAAGTGTGTATTTTTTGTGACAAGACCTATCTTTGAGTACCACCAAATTTGACCTTTTGACTTTGACCTTGGAGTTTGACCCACTTTTAAATGAAAATTTTAAACTTTTACTTTGACCATATCTTTTGAAAGTGGATACCAGGACATTCATACTTCACGTGTGTAATCTTTGTTGAAAATCTTTGTTGTTGGATACCAACAACCTTGACCCTTTGACCTTGATCTTGTAGATTTCAAAACTTGTAAAAAAAACATTAACCTTGGCCATCATTTTGAACGGTAAGTGATAGGGCTTTCATACTTCATATCTGTAATCCTTCTGAGAAAACCCTTCATTGGATACCAAGAACTTTGAGATTAACCTACTATAAAAAAGCAAACCTTGACCATAACTTTTAAAGGGTTAGGGCTAGTGCTTTCATACTTTTCATATTTAATCCTTGTGACAAGACCTTTCATTTCATAAGCGGCAAGACCTTTAAATTGATACCAATTACATTGACCTTTTGGCCTTGACTTCGAGATTATTGAAGAAAAAGAACTTTCAAATCGACTTACTTTCAAATTTCACAATTGTTTTCCAGTAAGAATATCCTACTTTTGGTACCAATTAATTAAATTTGCATTTAAGAAGAGTTTAATCTTTCCTATGTTGCCATACGGGGGCATCAGCGTTTCACAAACATATCTTGTTGTTTTTGATTTAGTTCATTGTCTGTGAACATTTTTCCAGGAGAAATAAGGCAGTTACCCTAAAACTATGTTGAAAATGATCTAGATTAAGAAATGCTTCATATGAGCATTTTTTATGAAAATATTTTTACAATGTCAAAGGGGAATATTTCATAAGTGTTTAAAATTTTCTTAAAATAAAAAAGAATATTGGAATAGCAACAAAAATATATATATTTCATTTTCTTATGTAATGTTGTAACACCTGATGATACATATGCTTTTCAAATGCATGTTTAAGCTTATTAAAAAAATTCCAGAATAAAAAGTACTGTGTTTCTGATGATGACATTGTATATTGATTAGCATAAGTGGCATATATTCTAGATATATAAATTAGCCTTTAATATTTATCAGGAATACATCCATAGAACGTATATCAGAGTCAGTGTTTGTGGGGCTGTGTCGTAACGTGGGGACCTCACAAATCGTGGTCATGAGGAGAGATGTGTTGGACATCAATGAGATGGTGAGAAATCAAGTGACAACAAGTGATGAGTCCAGTGTAATGCTGAGTGGAAGTAACAGAGAAGGATTCAGACTGAAAGGATAAGATAGAGACTTAATGAGCTGGTCAAATAATCACCGTGTGATCTGGGACTTATCTCAGTCTCAGTATTACAACACACATAGACAAACATTGATCTTATGTGACTGTTCTGATAGTTCACCAGGATTCACTTTGTTTTATTTACTGTCACCAAGCATGAATAGAAGAATCCAGAGATCTTGTGTTAGAATGTATAACAGATATTACATATCTAGTTCTAAATTCAGACAGATCGTGTGTTCTGAATCAAGAAGAAAGTCAACTCAGCATGGACCCTGTGCCAGTAGAACATATAGAACAATAGAATATGATACTGCCTTCTGTTTTGTTTGTGACTTTTGGCCCCCATCTGCCTCCTCGTGGATAGACAGATGTCGCTCATGGCCCCAGCCTCATACAGTTGATGATATAGTAAAAAAAGGATGTCACTTTGTAGCAATAGGACATAAGTTAGGACGAAATGAAGACCATGAATGGAGAATTTCTTTTTCTCTGGCTGAACAAAAACTTGTGTATGCAATGAACCACTGTCAGTTCTTAACTTATGGCCTGCTTAAATTGTTCTTAACAGAAATAATTAACAATGGAGTAGGTGATGAAGATAAATTACTTTGTTCCTATCACACAAAGACAGCAGTTTTCTGGGTGATTCAACAAAATATAATACCTTACTGGTGGTCGCAAAATCTCCTGGGGTGTTTCTGGGTCTGTTATAAACTCATCCTCAAATTGATGTATGAGGGGGTCTGTCCTAACTTTTTCATTCCAGATAACAACATGTTTCTGAGTAAAATTCATGGTGACAAACAACATCAATTATTTATTAGACTGTATGGATTGTATGAGAAGGGTATAACATTCCTGCTACTCAGTCCCTCCATTAGCTCTTATATTATAAATGTCCTTCATAACCCCAGACTCTCTATCTGTGCAGATGAACATAATCTGATTTCTGAGACCCAGTTTGATTTAAACCTATTACAAAGATGAGACAGGCTGTAGCATTGAATATCAGAATGCACAATGACATTCATTACATCAGTGAATTGATACCAGAACAACAGTCTGCTGTACAGAATCATGAGAATACATTATATATCCCACCCTTGATATTGCTAACCATGCTAGAGATCTTGTGCTACAGACATGTAGACATAATGAGAGAACAAACAGCTCTAGATGATCTACACACCCTAGTTCACTATGATCAGGGAAAGCTGGTATCCTTAGATTACAGAGACATATCCTGGGAGATTCTGGGGATCTGTCAACAGGTGACAGGGTACCTCCAGGCTGCTCTATACTCATACCAACAATCTCTCAGACGAGATCGTTACGAATCGTGTTCAGCTTTAAGGTTAGGTTAGGATCACTTAAGGATTTAAACTTTTCAATACTGAATTGATTTCTCCTTTTTCTTAGCCACAGTGCTTAGATGAGTGACTTGACCCATGGGTCTCTTGCAGTCAGCAAGGCAGATAATTTAATTTTATTATTAGTAATGTAAAAGGAAATCAATGGAAAGAGAGTCTCTTTACAGGAGACCCATGGGTCAAGTCACTCATCTAAGCATTGTGGCTAAGAAAAAGGAGAAATCAATTCAGTATTGAAAAGTTTAAATCCTTAAGTGATCCTAACCTAACCTTAAAGCTGAACACGATTCGTAAAAGGAATCTGTCCGCCATTTTTATTCCCGAGTCTCGCTACTCTGCAGGCCTCTATAAATAGGACAAATCTTGATCACTGTTCAGTGTAATCAGTCGACACCGGAGAATACGGACGTATACTATACAGAGCTCGGTAGCAAGAATAATAACGTAATACTTCGTCTTATGCAGGAAAATAAGACACCAAATAAATTTACAATTGTTGTATAAGTCAGTGCAGTATACAAACAACACAGATAAACGTAACTGTAATAAAATATAAACAAAGGTAATGCAAGATAACCAGCACGAACACAGGTCGCCATTTCACGCCGATACCCGTGACAATAAAGCAGTCAGGTGTGACGAATGCGACGAGTATACCCTAGTATTGATGTATCGTAGATAATGCTATCGAAAATGGCGTACGCCTATTTGCGAGTCGTGTTCAGCTTTAAACGGGAAGAGGCTATGTCGATATGACCAATTATGGTTTTGCTGTCCTGAAAAAAATATTTTTTCCCATACGTTCTAGATAGAAATTATATTGTCGATTGTGGCCCCTACATACCCCCAGGGGTCATAATTGAATAAACTTGAATCTACACAACCTGAGGATGCCTTACATATAAATATGGTCATTTATGGATTTTCTGTACTTCAGAAGAAGATTTTTAAAGATTAGTTTAGGTATTCCTATGTAAAATTTTGATAATCCCTGGTGGTCCCGCCCTGCTCCAAGGGGTCATGCTTTGAACAAAACTGAATCTGTATAAGATATATTTATATGGAAGCATCCTCAGGTAGTGTACTACCTGAGGATGCTTCCATTTAAATATATCTTGAATACAATGTTGAATCTACACTTTCTGAGGATGTTTCCCTGTAAGAAGGATATGGATATAACGAACAGTATTCGATCTCAAAGTCCATAAAAGAATAGAAAATAACAGCAGAGCAAACACGGACCTCCGAAACATCAGAGGTGGGATCAGGTGCCATGGAGGAGTGAGCTCACCCTGCTGACCTGTCACACCCGCCGTGTGCTCCTTGTCATGATCAGGAAATAACGGAAAAATCTGTCGTCAATTCAGTGTATAAATAATGGTCTAATAATTGGTATGAAACACGTCAGTCAGCATTTGACTCAATGATAAATTGTATTTGCTGACAAGGTCTTTGTATCGACCATAGAACTTACGAAATGATGACTTAAAAAGAGACAATTGATATTCTTGTTTCATCAACTCGCTTGTCAATAATTTACCTATAAGTTTCATCTTTCCTGTCACAGTGGTTCTTGAGAAGGAGATTTATAAAACATGCCACCAAATTTTAATTTATTCTGAATTATCTCTTCTTGAACGATAGTGTGGTATTCATTTGAACAAACTTGAATACCCTGCACCTAAGCATGTTTTTGGAAGTATGGTTAAATTGGCCCATTGGATCTGAAAAAGAAGTTGAAAATATATTAAAAGTTTACAGACGGACAGATGAACTACAGACAAAATGTGACCGAAAAAGCTCACTTGAGATTTCAGCTCAGGTGAGCAAATAAAAACAGAAGTGGTCAACTAGAGCCGAGCTCGTTGCAAAGCAACGAGTAGGTCTTCCGTCGGAGCTGCAGACAGGGAGAAATGACCTTGAGTCAAGGTCATTTCACGTTCTAATGTTAAAGCAATCTTTTAAGGATAGATATAATCTTATTTATGCTTTACTATTAAAAAAGATAGTAAAGGAATGTTGCGACCTTGACCTTACGTTACACCATGACACACGCTGGTGATAAGCAAAGCCCATTTTGTGCTACCGTATTGGCGAATTCTGAATCTATACCTTTTTTTTCTATAGGCCTTGTCACAGCTATTACGTGTATACATGTGAAACTAGGTATGAAAGCGTTATCCTTTCTTTATCAAAAGTCATGGTCAATTTTAAGCAATGTTTAAATTTTGGAAAAGCCGGTTAAACTTCAAGGTCAAAGTTCATTATATGCTAGTATTTGAAATGATTCTATCAAGTTTACACACATTTGATCATTGTGTAATACAAAAACCTATCTCTTCTCATTCAAAAGTTATAATCAAGGTTAAAATTGTGAAAAGTTAGTCAAGCCTCAAGGTCATGTTGTCAAAATCAGTGTATCGTTATTTACAAAAATGTTGTGACAGGTAATACACAGTGGTAAAATAAAAGACCTATCTCTTCTCATTCAAAAGGTATGACTATAGTTAATGTTTTTGAAAAGCGGGTCAAACTTCAAGGTCAAAGGGTCAAATAATAATGAATTTTCAAAGACCTTGACACAGGTAATACATGTACATGTTTATAAAATGAAAGCTTTCAATAGTTATGGTGAATTTAAAGTAATGTTATTTTCTAAGTAGGTCAAGCTCCAAGATCAAGGTCACATGGTTAAAAATCACAGTATATTTGAAAATCACATGTCACAAATAATGCACATGTGAAATATGAAAGTTCTATTTCAACTCATTCAATAGTTATTATCAAGTTTAAAGTTCTCGTGACAGATGGACACTGCAAGACTGTCTGACGAATAAGGTTTAATGTGCCCTAATAAAAATAAGTACACGTTATTTGAACATGATAAATTGAAAAATACGAATAATAAAAGAAATAGAAAATATTAGAATATAGATTAAGTTTCCTTCATAAGATTTCCTGAAAGACATATTTGATTCAAGTACATGCATTATATGTACGTTGGGGATTCAAGACGCGGAGATGAGAGTGTACATATATATATATATATATATATATATATATATATATATATATATATATATATATATATATATATATATATATATATATATATATATATATATATATATATATATATAACTGTCTCGTTACGGGGTAGGTGGTGTCATAACAGTATTAAATTCCCCTGATTCCACCTCTGATATTTGGATGAAAGTTTGTCTTTGCGCTGCTGGTGATTTATATTGTTTAAACTGTTTTTGGGCTGAAATATTGTTCATTTTCTCTGTATTTCTGCGCATGCTCCAAGGCCGTGCATCGTCCATGTATAAATGTCCAGCCTTTCCCTTTCCCAGAAATTTAGCTATAATATCAGGCAAGAGAGCAACAGTGCCACACATTTAAAAAAGTGTATATTAATTGTGCAAAAAACTTGCGCTGAAGCTATATTCAATGTCCGTGTTTTTCAACTGCTTGAATCAAAAAATATTATTTACCGTGTGGTTCTAGCACATTCCTTAAATTTATCTACAGTAAAACATTCCTTACAACCGTTTTTAAAAGTCCTTCTGAGCCTGAATTTGAGATAATATTGGTGGCACTGAGGCTTTCTGGTGATCTATCCCAATTTTTTCACAACAGCTAGCGAGCTACAGATCTGCAGCTAGACACAAACTTAATTTAAAATTAATTTTACAAATTCATTTGAAATGTAACAGAATTGAATTTTATGAAAAGAATTGTTTCTAATGCTAATTTTTACCATATGCTAAAATTAATTACCTAGCAAGTTAAGACAGTAAAAAGGAATTTGTCACTCAGTACTTATCTAAGGAATTAGTGTCAATCCTCAACCTCAAAGAGCGTTCGACTTGTCAATCTCCCATGCAGAGTTGTCGTTCGTTCCTCTCTCAGACACCTCTGCAATGGGCTCACGTCAAGGTTTTTGACATAACGTATAAAACGTGATATTTGAAGAATTGTTTCAATTTAAATTAATAGTTCTGGATTGATTTAGTAAATATCTATCTCAAAACTCAGACATAAGCATAGAAATTGAATTGTAATGAATTAAAACAAACGCACTATTTCTCGTTTTTAACACTGTGTATACGCGAGCCAACGACAGAGGTGAATGTATGAGCCTATGGTAGAGAGTGTCGACTTGTATGATAATAACGTACGTGTGATAAAACTGCCGTGGACTATCCCGGACGTGAACATTAGATGTATTGGACATTCCGTCATCAAGAAAATATTGTTTTACTCTGGACTATTCCGAGTTACCAAAACGTTTCTGTGTATGTCCATGTGTGAGCGTTTCAACCTGTGTTTGTTTTATGGGACTTGACTTGATTTATTTTTCAAAATACAAACTTTAACTTTTTATTGCGTGACTTTCGTTTTATAAATCACCACATTATATTCTATTAAAATTATGATTCCATCTTCTTTGTTTGATTTGATTTGAACATATTTTATTATGTAAAATACATAAATGGATTGGGCAGCAGGCATAGCCTATATAAGCCCTCTCCATGGGTACAAGGTTAGTTAATACACATATAGTAACAGGTTTATATATGACCAATAAGTTATATATAACTGACACAAATT